GTTTCTTCAGGAATGCTCTAGTGTTTGCTAGATGGGGTAGGCGGGTATATATAAGAGGGGACAACGTGACGCAGGAACGTAATGTGTGTGTAGACAGTGAGTAATTGATCTGCAGTCAGCAGTATTATTGACGTTCGTTGTTATAGTGTTTGTTTAGTGCGATTGTTGAAGTTGAGTGTATCGGTAAAGTTATATTCGGAAAGAATAAACCAGTTTTATTAAGTAAAGACTTGTGTCGTTAAAATTTCGTCGGAACGAAGTTACGGAAAGTTAATTAACAAACGGAGACGTAACAATATGTTACATTTTAATGGCATGTAACTGTGCGACATCACGAGGTAACAGAAAGGAAACAGCTATTGTAATGAACCAAATGCAAAAAAAAAAACAGGAAAGGATTTACTTCTCACGCCATTTTTCATACTTAGCTGTTGAACAAAACTGGAAGCTAGAAAGAACTTTGGACAGGAGAAAAAAGAGAACAAAAGCAGAACAACAAACATACATACCGTGATATGTTGGCATATCCTATGTTTTCTATCTGTAACTGTCTTTTCGTGTGCGCAAGTACATATGATGCATTATCGTAATAGAATTGTTTAGTGTCATCATTTACCCACACACAAGAAAATTCAGTCAAGTTTACAACATAGACTACTTCAAAACTTTCTTGTTCGAAGTCACGTGACGCTGCTCGCGCATGCTCGAATTATCAGGGAACTCCTCGAATTTTGTCGAAGCCTCTTTGTTAGTATATAAGCCTGGCGAGAAAAGAATGAGAAATGAAATGATGTAAAAGCGAACAGTATGTTACGACAGCGGAAGTCGTGCGACGCTGGGAGTATGCGCTGGTGTTCTAGAAAGATCGAAGAACCTGTTGAACGTCCTAGCGTTTGCTAGACACGCGCTCTTATAGTATATAAGCCGGCAAATAAAGTGACGGGATAGATAATTGCAGACGGACAATTGAGTAAAGCGCGGTAGTGATTGTAAGTAAAGTGCGTGAATCGTTGTGAATTATAGTGTTTAAGTTAAACTGACTGTGGAAATTAAGTGTATTGCAAAATGTTATTGAGAAAGAATAAACTAGTTTTATTTAAGAAACGACTTGTATCGCTGAAGTTTCTGGGAAAGAATGTCTACGGAAAATTAACAAACGAACAGAGACGTAACAAGTAGCTACGATAAGTTTTGTGTTGGTGAGCCGTAAAGTGTGTGTTTGCACTCGTAGAGTGCAAAATTATTGAGATTGTGAATCGCTGTGATCTATAGCGTGAATTATAAAAGTCGTTAGGTTGAAAGTGACGAGAAACGTACTGACTGTGAAATTACTGTGTACTAAAAGTTTGTATAGAGAAAGAATAAACTGGTTTAATCAAGAAAGGACTTGTATCGCTGAAGTTCCTCGGAAAGAATTTCTACCGGAAATTAACAAACAAGCAGATATGTAACACTGCAGTTATCAGTATATATGATTATACGATACTTGTAAGGATATCAGTTGATCTGAAAATACCACAATACAAACGGTAGTGAGAGTAAGTGTATTGCTATCAAATTTTCGTCACTATAAGACGGTTTAGATCATAGGAATAAGAAAACCGGAATAAACAAAAAAGCTAGAAACATGATCAATTATAACCGTAATGAGTATTTGAAACCTGAATATAGAATCATGAAATTCTAGGAATTTTAAGAACATTATTCAAAAGAAGTTAAGTGGTAAATAACAAAAATGTTATTTTTTTTTCATTTTTCAACAATTGTTCTACCAACTGGTGGCTTCTTATTGGTCAGTAGTAATTTTGGGGCTAAAATAGGGGTTTCTATAAGTGTGGTGGACACAGAACAAATAGTCTGTTGTGTTGCTTTGTATTTAACAACTTAATAAACAAACCAATTAGTGTCACGAATTCATTTATCTTAATTCACATGGCAGAAACACGTATATTATTCAATAGTGTATTTTATTTATTACTATCTAGTATTTCGCTTGGTGTCTCCACAAAGGACACATTCTGCACAAAATATTTAAGGCTAACTGTTGTGAGTGATCATGATAACCTGTAGTAGTAGCATTAGTGCTGAACGCCGTGTTAAGTCACTTGAAATGCTCTGCAACTAAAGAAATTTTGTCTCATAAATGATTAATATACATCGCGTTTAAATTGAAACCTTGAACATTATGACCAGTCGGCCTGGTACTGTTTGAAAGGCCTCGTTGACAGCGACATACAACAGCCAAGTTGTGGTTGAATGATGTTATACATTCTTCTCACTGGAAAGCCATAATTGTCCAGAAAATAATGATATTATTTAAATCATTATCAGCTTCATTGTGATTTCATATCACACACAAATCATTACTAAACATCATATCTCATCAATTAAGATGTTCTTCACCGTGAGACTTGTCATATCATGACAGCCCAATTTCTGCTTTTCAATAACACATATAAGAAACAGCTGAATAACTCATAAGAATCAACCAACTATTCAAAATTGTCAAAAATTTGTACCTCAACAGCCGACAACTATTTATATATTTGTTGCCCAGATGCATAACTAAGGTTACGTCAAATGAGAAACTTTGAAACATTTTATGTTTAATCCTAAGTGCTCGGTAAAACTGTTTGAAAAACTACAGTGCTCAAAATGTTGTTATCAAATAAATCTATTGGAAAATGTTTTATTTTTCTTCGCAGAAGAGCCTTTCTAATCACTATTCCTAATTATTAGTTTATTTTTTCACCATACATTCGTTCTTATATCCTGATTTAACCTTCATATTTGGTTATATTAGTACGGTACGCGATTACTGATAGCAAGGTGATTTCAAAGGCACAGGAAGTTGACTACGTTATATTAAAATGATTTGAACAAGTGAACCAGAAAATCACGCGACAACCACAGCTGATATAAAGTCGCAGTGGAACGGAAGGTATCAAAACTGGATATTTACATTGTTAGGCATTTCGTACGTAGCCTGATGTCACCGAAAATTGATCGTGTTTGGTAAAGATATGTAACTGTCCTGCTCAACGCTAAATACTCGACACTCAAATTATAAAGATGTGTTTAGGCCGAGGGTTTAGAAGTTCCAAGACGGGAATATCCCCTGTACTTGATGGCATTGGAAAACAAAGGAATGTGTATCAACTTGAAGCATCAGAACCATCCACAAAGAGACGGCAACAAGTCGTACCACAACCGTGGCAAGCAAAGTACGATTTCTTGTAACACAAACACATATATTACTTGCCCTAGGCAACAGTATACAACACAATCAAGAAGAATCCCCTTTTGGGAAAGCGACACAACTCACGTGTGACCTAGCTGTTCAACTGTTGAATACTTCAAGCAGATGGAGAATGAAATGGTCATTCTTGCTGTTCCATACGTTCGTATGAAGAAATACCGATCAAGTTACCGGACGTAGCGTCTATGGATATAGAGTGTTCAGACTGTTGAAATGGGTACTGGGAAATCGTCGTCCTTTTACACTGGGTGGCTTATTGAAAACAATCAAAGAAGAAGGGCTGTTTTGTATATAACATGACTGAGCCTTTTCCAATGAAAACTACGTTGCGGGACTATGGTCAAAATGCACGTCCGTCAGGTGCATGATCAGACGTGACAACGTAGCCTTTAACTACGTGATAAGGCTCCAAAATCGTTTTAACATAACGTACTCAACTTATGCATTAATATTTGCTATTTACATTTTCTAACTAAGAAATTATACTCACATGTGAATTCCAGTTTGGCCTTGCAGAGTATCGGCTACAGTCTGTTTAGAGTACATATTTATGGGTGTATTGTACTGATGATGTAAAACATTGGGACCCGAGACAGAACTGGATATCCCCGAATCAGAAGTCGGTGTTCGACCAGGATTCAATGTGACATGAGACAATCCCGCGATTTTCGCAGATTCCTTTAACTGCAAAGGTTAAGTATTTCACTATAAATGATACATTATTAAAGACAGAGTTTAAAAAGTGATATATATAATAGACTGCCTGTTACGGATATACATATTTTTGCAACAGCTAGACTCTGATAAAGTTTAACCGAATGAATTGTGGATGGAATACGTTCTTCTATTACATAAAAAATCATGAGTTTTTACCTAGTCCTTCTTTGCGCTACAAATGTTACAACTTCTACTTGTTCTACTTTATTAACACTGTATAAAACAACGGGCAAGTCTATATTATAATACTTTAGTACCATTACATAAGACAGCCTATACTATCTAAAAAACATTAATTTGTGAAAAATTAGAAAAAAGAAATCATTCATATTACCTTAGCCATCATTTTCGCCTCGTTTACACGGTTGGTTGGCGAGAAGGATTTATTCTCAACTGGGTCATGAACGTGTCTTAAGTAGGAACCTATCGGAATATCATGCCTTGGTTTGGCTTTAGGGAAAACCAACTGGACTGTCCGATAAGGCTGAAATAAATGGAAAAATATTTAAGTTTACATGCATAACCTTCTAACCTGAACTGTATTTACAGTAGCTCGTTTAATCATTTGTTTTATAAAAACGATAAGAAAATGAATATCTAAAATGAAATTGTAAAAAACAGGAGTTGGAAATATTACAAGAAAGTGAAAAATCTGGAAGAATATGAAAAAGCGTTTTTTTACCTATTATCTAACTTTTTTGCACATAAATGGGAACTATTCGTGATAAAGCAATTATTTTTGGTGGATATATCACAACTTAAAAAACATGAATATACAAAGACCAAGAAGCACTACATCTGCTCAAATGGGGTGATAGACAGCAAAATAAAACATTCCAATATTCAACATGGCTGCATGCTGTCGGATGGTCCACTTGATTTTTGGCTATCGCAGAGCATATGCTACATTGACAGATGTCATCCCACAGCATTTAGCCACGTTGTATATTGAATAGTTTCGTTCAGCTGTCTGTCATGTCATCCCAAGGATCTATGCCATCGTTCGCATTGCTCCACTTGGCAATCATTTCTGATTACCATTCGTGTTCTCCATGATCTAAGTGGTCTAGCCACTATGACTATTGTTTCATGAGGAATATAATTAATTTTATTGATGTTTGAACATGTCGATACAATTTATAGAAGCCTTCTCTACGTGAACAACAGAGCCAACTGTAACGAATTTTTAGAACAGTTATTCACTCAATACATTTAATGGTTTAGTTTCATTGGCAGTATATCACTAGTTACAGCTCGTGAAATGTAAAACTCTCAAAGTAAAAAGAGCCATAATTTGGAATTGATTGAATCGACTTATCTAAAGAGCCCCATTTAAGAACAACATTATTGCATGTCTGTAATATAACTGAGGATGACCTTATGAAGGATCTTATCCTATTCCTCAGTCAGTGAAACACTAAGATTTCTGAAGTCGCGTGGTATGTTAAGATGTTGATTTACAAGTCGCCCAAGAAAAAGACCTCAGATGTGTTTTATATTCAGATTATGAGTATTTTGTGACCAATCCATGTCCTCCATGGCATAAGCTGGGGAACCTTTATCGATCTTAGATTAGACTCATGAAGATTTTTTATTATCCGTTTGTCACTTATAACCATTATTGATGCTACACTGAAGTATTGGATCATAGACAGTAGACCTATTAACGGCCATTTTATGTCGATAGTAACTATTACGTGTTGTAATTGAAATTCCATGCTTTGTCCAGGATGTACATGCCTATTGTTTGATAACGTGTCCATAATATTTCTACTACGTACCTGGTATCCTTAAAATGAGTAGTTTCCTATCTCTGCATTTGCTGAGTTACTATCATTTGAGCGTTTCTGAAAGCTTGTACTTTCAACAAATATCTCCACCAGCAATTAACATTCTAATTATACTGGAATAATAATTATTAAAACGGTTGTTAAAATATTTGAACGTAACCTGTCATAAGAATGTACAGTTGTTTTGGATAATTGTCTACTGGCTATTCACCTTGGAAAGATCAATGGTTACATTTTTCATCTACATTTGGGTTCATCTACAAGTTTTGTACACGTAACAAGTGGTATGCTGACTTTTGGAATTGTATTTAGCATAATTTGCCCAGGTAACATGAAATGTTTGCACTTTTATTTTGTATTTTATAAACAGGAAGACAGGCAAACTCGACAGAGTGTCCATTCATGTAATCATAGAGATAATTCTTAGTGATTTCTGCCCTAACACGATGCTGCTAATTTATGAGGCTTGTTTTTAACTAAGTTCTAAGTAAAATCCTACATATGTACTATATGTATATGATCTGAGAGGACCATTTCAAAACGTTACGATTGATACCTCGAAATCAGAATGATCAATAAGTACTTTGTAACAGATAGACTAATTCTGCAAGAGAAACACATTGGTCTGTGCGAAAACACCGTGGCATAAACCTTTCAAAGTGTTGATTTACGATTTCTTGATATGTATTGACATTTAGACATGCAGATATTTATCTGATCAACCTAATACACTATGTGCAGAATATAGTCCATACTAAAACACTCCCACTACAATCCTTGACAGTTATCATAACACAACCATGATCAAAGTGTTCACATAACTATCTTCAAATCCATATTTTATCATCACTTTGGAACTGGATCAAGCACCTTTTGTCACACCGCATAATGGTCAGTAATCAAGATCATAATATTGACTGGTTTTACATAAAGTATAATGGTGAAATGCATTAGTGGATATATGCACGGTTTGCCTATTCCAACCTTTCCAAAGTCCCCACATCCACGGAGACCATATTGCACAAACCTCACATTTAGTTCCCGTTGACATGTAGCTAAATTTCCTGCACTAATGTAACTTTGAATTTTTATTTGATTTTTCTGAATATTGACAATGGACTAGTCTCACACACAGGATCTCGCATACGACCAAACACTAAGAATATTTCATATAACGATTTTCCATACTCTTTGCAGTCGATAACATTTTGAGGCAATAAGTAAATAACATTAGTGTGATATCTTGCACACAGCTTGCTCCACCACTCTACCTACCTATCAGACGTGCTTCTGTACTTATAATAAATGAGGTATGGCATCTTGCACACAGCTCGTTCCACTAATCTACCTACATATCTGACGTGCTTCTGTATTTATACTAGCTGAGGTGTGACATCATGCACACAGTTCGTTCCACCAATCTACCTACCTATCTGACCTGCTTCTTTACTTATAATAAATGAGGTATGGCATCTTGCATCTAGCTCGCTCCATTAATCTACCTACATATCTGACGTGCTTCTGTATTTATATTAGCTGAGGTGTGACATCATGCACACAGCTCTCTCCACCAATCTACCTACCTATCTGATGTACTTCTATATTTATGCTAACTGAATTCACTTGCAGCGCGTTTTTGGAGAGCCATGTCGCAAATTCCAGGAGTGTCACTGACGTTGTGTATACGTACTATGTGTGTGTGAAACAAATAAACAAACAAAAAAACAGTCATTGATTGATGACTGACTAGGCCAGTCAAAACATGTTTGTTTTCTGTACGTGATTTTAGTTTGATTTTAAATACATTTTTCGTTAGTGGTTAGTAATGTTTTTGATTTATTTTATTGAAGTGAATTTAGCTGTTCCATTTAACTAATAAATATACATGTATATTTGTGCGTGAGTGTGTTTGTGTGTTCGTTCTATCATGGTACTAGTGTTCTCTGTGTGACCGCAAGTGGTCCAATGGTAAGTGTGTGGGGCTGCATGTCGAAGTTTTCAAGGTTTGAAACATAATGCCACTAAAGGCAACCCGAATTTTCAATTGTAGGCGCGTTATAAAAAGTGATAGTCAACCCCTTTAGTTAATTTAAAGAGCCTGAAAAAGCTCTTGTGGTGGCGGGTACTAATCGTTGGCTGCCTTCCATCTGGTCAGTAATTAAAAATTAGAGACAATTTTACTTAAACCCTAGGGGTCTCTGACCTTACCGTTTACCCCACGTGCGCATAAGATGCCGTTCTAGTTGAAAAATCCAATTCTTGTTCACTTGTAGCAAACACAAAACAAAAACTTTAAAACGTATAACATGGACATGAGAACTTTGGTCAAGAAAGAAAAGTACAAATGCAAGGTAGAAGCTGTAAAGCGACAAATGTTCCAGTTCGTAAGATTGAGTTCTACCGAAATTCAAACAAATGGAGCAAGATGAAAACTAGGAAGTTTCAAGACACCTACTATCTTCAAACCTTAAATATCAATTGACTGTCTAAGGCCAATAATGGATAAGACATGAACATAAGGTAAAGGAAGATTGTGTTGGTGTCGAGTTTCATTAAGAAGTAGTAATATGTTAACCTAATGTGACTGTTTGTCAGTTTATCGGGTGATGAGATATTAATTAGGATTTGTGTTGAATATATGTATGTAGACAGAATGTTGTAAAAGACTCGAATCACCAAGATTTTTTTAAGGTCCTGTTTCTACAGCTCTTCAAATGTGCACCAACGAAATTTCAACACGATGTCACAACAAGATCGTTTCCACATGTTATCACAAGTTTATCTCAATGTCCCGACAAATTACCTTCTTCACGTTCTTTCAAGGTTAATAACAACCTAGCCAATTACTACATTATTATAAGGACATGACTTAGAAAAATCATAGTAAAGACAGTGCTTAGAAATACAGTTATGATGTGTAACGTTTTCATTACTCGGTATGTAAATTGGTAATTCAGACATTTAAAAAGTTGCTATAAATATAATCCAATAGAAACATTCAGATATAAAGGAAACCAATAGAAAGATCCAATTATCAGCATTTCATATATATGACAAATAGACAAAAGATGGCGTGAGAGAGTGAAATATAGAAAATGAAAGAACCAAAAATTGTGCTAGATATCTAGAAATACAAAGTGTCCATTGTAAATGTTCTTTGCTTTCCTTAGACTTGGAGCTATAAATACTTCCTCTTAAGTACCCATCTTTCCAAAGGACAAAGAAAATTGAAACCATTATTTGTAAATATTTTCAAACCTGGTGCTGTATTGTTTGATGTTCTTTTCGCTGTTCGTTGAAATATTCTTGCTGTTCGTAATCAGCAAAGTTCTGTGGCGTGATATAATGCGGCTGATATTCGGAAGTCATCTTTGTCGTCAACAGATTACTTGGAGTAGAAACACTAACGAATCCGGTAGGCTTCGGCTGATAAACGATGTTGGCCAATGGATGACCTGTGTCTGCAGGATTCGGGGTGTTGGGGGTTGTGATAGATGATTGAGCCGACCTGGGTACTCTGTATATAAATAATAAATAAACTAAATCAGAAAGGATTTATACATATCTATACTAATTACTGCTGTCATGAAATCATTCAAATTTGGAACATTTCAAAATCAAACACCCTGTTTATTCACTGTTTAGCTTCTCTAACGAAGTCGTTTGTATCTGCTATGCACAAAAATCTTATAGCACCTCGATCATATTTAACTTTTACTATCAATATGTATATATCTGCGTATGAGTGGATAAATAAAATCATTGGGATATGTGTTACGTGTGAACGTTATATTATTAACTGTGCTGTGTAACACATACCAATACGAAACTAACTGTGGCAATATCAACTTACCTGTAGATTTACTACAGTGTGTAATATGGATATACTAGCAGAAACTCGCAAAACATTTGCGGTCAAGTTAGTATCTTTATTGCAACAGTACTCCTTTAAATACATGATTTCTAGAATAATACAAACGAATTCTAATCGCGGACACTGCAATCTATAAATCCACTTGTCTTCGCTTTAGTTTAATTAGGGCAAAGCTAAAAGCATACTTAACACTACCAATGCATGCACTTATATTGCTATTAAACGACCCAACGTTAGACCTATTCAAAAACTTTGATAAGCTTTTAATATATTGATGTACAAAATGCTTACTAAACTATATTTACATCCACCTTTTGTTTACATTCTTTGAAATGAAGTGCGTGCATATACACATTTAGATTGTATGGCGCGCGCGCATTTTCAGGACAGAGTAAACTACTATTATAACAAATATGACATTTTACGTTGTATTATTAACATATCTGTAGATTTACCATATTGTGTAATACGGTTCTATATTGCAGCTTACGTTGTATTATCAACATGGCCCGGCACGGCTAGGTGGTTAGGGCGCTCGACTCGCAATCTGAGGGTCGCGGGTTCGAATCCCTGTCACACCAAACATGCTCGCCCTTTGAGCCGTGGGGCGTTATAATGTGACGGCCAATCCCACTATTCGTTGGTAAAAGAGTAGCCCAAGAGTTAGCGGTGGGTGGTGATGACTAGCTGCCTTCCCTCGTGTAGCTTTGCGCGAAATTCAGAAACAAAAGCAAACAATTATCAACATACCTGTAGAATTGCTATAGTGTGTAATGTGGGTCTGTATGTCGTTTTACGTTATATTATCAATATACCTATAGTAATACGGTTCTATATTGCGGCTTACGTTGTATTATCAACATACCTGTAGAATTACTATAGTGTGTAATGTGGGTCTGTATGTCGTTTTACGTTATATTATCAATATACCTATAGTAATACGGTTCTATATTGCGGCTTACGTTGTATTATCAACATACCTGTAGAATTACTATAGTGTGTAATATGGGTCGATATTCTACTACATGTTGTAATTATCAAAATAGAGTACATTTCCTATAGTATGAAATAAAGGTCGGCTATATTTAATGTCACAATTAATCAGTTTTATAACTTAAATAAAATACTAACAATGTTAAAAACATTACAGTGTGTTGTCAAGTTAACCTGTTATGTTATGTTATGTTATTTTTAACGTTTAAAGCGTGTATTTCTTACCGTAGATTTTTCAACAGATTTATCCTCAATTTTTCATTTCATAGATTAAATACGGTATGATTTAAGACACGTTGCGCCTGAAAAGGTACAAATTCAAAGCTTTATTGACCAAAATTGTCAAAATTTAATTTCTTTAGAAAGCCAATAAAGAGTTATCAGTAAAATTTGAAGGT